AGCAGCTCCCACTGCTCCGTTTCAGAGCAGCCACACTGCGACTGATGAAGGTCTGGAGGTGTTCCCTGAAGGCTGAAGCTCACAGGCCACCTCACCCATCTCGTCCCAGGCGATGCTGGTCAAGAGGATTCCTCACCAAGTGCTGCCTTTCCCTGTGTGCTTTTCCCTCCCTAGGGTGCTCCCATGCCTCTCTGACATTCTTTCACAGCTGGGTGCCCAGGGGCTGTTGGCTTTGATATTTGTCCCTCAGTGGATCTGATGTCCAGGGAGGAGCTGAGACCTTCCTTTACAAAACAATTGGCTTTATAAGCAAGGGGAGTGATGCATTGGGGTGATTGCCCGTAGGACTGAGCCCTATTTTTAGGTTCTCCATTGCCTGGTGAGGCCCCCAGCAAAGTGTCGAATGGAGCTGGAACCTTTTGCCATCAAACTGTTGGAATCCCACGTGGCTTCTCTGCTGACTCATTAGCGCTGAGTTATTGCTGCACTCCTCTTCCAGCAGGACTCCAACACAGTCAGTTTTCACCATCCAGCTGTTTTGTGACACCTCCCAACACCCGCAACTTCAGGGACCTCCTTCAGATGTGACTGCTGCTGTCTGCGCGCTCTGGAAAGAAATGCCTGCACAGAAGGCCCCTCTCCTCTGCCTGCAGGTGTGCTGAGGTCCCAGGCCAGCTGTGGGCTTCTGGCTCTCACACCACCTGCACTCAGGTCTCTCTGCACCTCTCCTGACTCCTGGTGCAGCACCACATGAGATGAGCACAAGCCCACCCACCCACCGAGCCCATCGCCACCCCAGCTCCCATCCCAGGCAGACTCGCATGGCTGCCCTGCCCTGTGCAGCCCCCAGAAGCAATGGAAGCCAGGCTGGGCTGGACTTGGGGGGGGGACAGAAACGCAGCCGCCTGCATTTATTTTGCCTAACAACAGCGATCTCTCTGTGTATTTTCATTCTGTTTTCCTCGGCTCAGCTGCCTCCTCAATGAAATGTTTCCAAAGCAGCCTGGCTTGGCGGCGTGCCAGCCCCCGGCTGCCAGATGAATGGGCGGAGGAGGAGGGACCCATTCCTCTTCTTGACACAGCATCGCTGCACAAGAGGCCTCTGTTGACATTAGGACTGGCTGTTCCCACTCTTCCTGAGAGGATCTGCCTGGATCAGCACACGGGGCCGAGGCAGTGGGTTGACCCGGTGACCAGCCATGGACAGCAGGGTACAGCGGTGCGTCCTCCTCTGGGGTGGTGGCACAGCTATGGGCACCAGGGGACCACAGCATCAACCCCAAGATGTCACCAATGTAAAGAGCCCGCTGAGCCCTTCCAAAACACCCTGTTCCCAGCCCAAAGCTCGACAGGAAGAGAGCTTCGCTGCTGCCTGGGATGTCTGCAGTGAGGAAAAGGCTCTGCCTGGCTCTAGAGGAAAAGAGGCCGAGCAGCATCAATAAGATGAATTGGTTGTCTCAGCAGCACCGGCAAAATGAGCGAGAGAAGCGGAGCCCGTGAGGCTCGGCCTGCTTTGTTTCAATTACAGCAGCTGCCAGAAGAAGAAAATAACCTTGATACTGATGGCGGAGCAGCAGACAGAGGTGCCCTTGTGGGTGCTGGGAGCAGGTAGAGGAGGAAGGGTGAGGAGGAGAAGAAGAGAGAGATGGAGCCAGGGAGCAGGGTCCTGTGGGACCTCACACACTGATCCCAACCAACCTGGCACAACTCATCCCCATGGGGAGCAACTTCTGACCCCCACATGGTGCCACGTCAGTGGACAAGCCATCCCTTTGCTCCTAGCTCAGGCAGAGGGGGAGTGGACAGGTGGTGGTTCTGTGCAGAGCTGTGCAGGATTGGATGGGCTGTGGGGCTGGGGCAGGCGGGGGGCAAGGTGCAGGGCTGGGGGAATGCAAATCTCCACTGGGCGCTGCTTTATGGGGCCCGTGTAGAACCCCAAACCCCTTCCTAAGTCCCAAAGCAGGTGTTGTACTAAGGGACATGGCTTAGTGTGGAAATGTTGGTGGTAGGTGGGCAGGTGGACTGGATTCCAGCATTGTTGATTCTATGATTCTTGTGCTGGTAGGAAGCCCCACAGACCTCCACCCTCTTGGGGAAAGGACATCCCAAAGGCCAGGGCAGGTAGGGTTCACTTCACAGAGGCTTTATTCATCATCTGGACGTCCAATTCACCCCATGACCCCCACCCACATCCTCCTCCTAGGGCTGCGGGCTCTGAAGGCAGCCCCTGTTTTCTGAGAGGGGACACGGCCACCATCTTGCGGCCACCCACCACCACTGCACATACCCGTGCACAGGGTGGGAAGGTTGGGACGCAGGGAGCGACGACCCCCGTCAGCACTCCCCTTCTCCAGGCTCACCCATGGGTCCCAGCTCTGCCCCTTCAATCTCTGCCCCGCTGCTCTGTGCGGTGTCAGCCTGCGGTGACCAAGGAAATCCTGGTTTGCACCACGGGCATCATTGAGCGCAGAGAGGCAGCAGCAGAGGAAGAAGGGGTAGAACTGACTCTTAGGGCCAAAAGGTCAGCACCTCTGGGTGCCAGAGGGGGATTTTCATCCCTGGACACTGGGTGGAAGCATGACCCACGTGGAGGGGGCTGCATACCAACACTGCTTGTGGCCAGCAGCACAAAGCAAGCCTTTTGATGCCTCTGAGAAGTGAGCCAGCATGGTGTGCACGCTATGGGTTCTGCCCAGATTAGGGATCGTGCCCCTCTGGCGTCTGCCCCTTGGGATGGAGTTGGCCACGGGCTCCATGGTGGTGGTGAGTGTGGGCAGGTCTGTGGTCCCTGCTGGGCTCTGGGGCTGTCCTGCTGCCAACCGCGTGGTGGTGAGGATGGAGACGGTTGGGTTGGTGGTGGGTGGGGGTCTCAGACTCCTCCTCCTGTTTGGGAAGCGGGGTCAGGGTCGTAGGGACCTCCGTGGTACTGTTGGCCTAGGAAAAACAACACAAGGACTGGTGTGTTATGGCTATCCACCAGGACCCTTGGCAGGGACGTCACAGTCCCAGCACGAAGCCAAGTGATGCAGAGCCCAACCCACGGCCCCTGCAGCCCCGTACCTCCTGGGTGCTGTTGGTGTAGAGGGAGCAGTTCCCACAGAAGTCCTTGCGGTGGGTGAAGCGGATGGCAGACTCTACGTAGGGCAGGTGCAGGAAGCTGTAGGGCAGCTGGATGTGGAAGGCCAGGCGGCCGCAGCTAGGGCAGAGCGAGGACGGGCTGCAGGGGCGGCCGGCTGCCTCAACCCCACGTCGCCCTCCCAACAGAGAGCCCTCCCGGCGCCACACCACCTGCCAGCATCCACCCCAGGGACAGGAGCTCACCGGTCGTAGACGAGGAAGTCATCTTTGTCACCCCCCAGCAGCTGCCACACATCGGGCTCGTGTGGCTGCTGCTGGAAGACGGGGACACCCGGTGGGGCATGGCGCTGCAGCTCCCCGAACATGGCGCGGGACAGCGGGGCCTGCTCGTTGACGATCATATAGCGGACATCGCTCACGCCCTGCTGCCCCAGCCGCTCCCGCAGGGCCCCGAGGCTGTGGGGAAGGACGCACTGAGTGTGGCCGCCGTGCCGTGGCCCAAGATGGCGGTGGGGCGGAGCGGGGCAGGCCTCACCTGCGGGCCTGCTGCAGGCAGAAGTGTCAGCTGGCCTTCAGCAGGGCCACCACCGTCACCTGCCCCGCCGTGCCCTCCATGGGGCTGGAGCCGTTGATCCGCCACGCCGGGGCCTCGCGGCACAGACGGCTGCCGTCAGCGGCCCCCTCGGAGGCCACGGCCAGCCCCAGGCAGGAGGCCAGCGCCAGCAGCAGCGGCCCCATCCCGGCACTGGGGGTGAGCTGCAGGGGATGGAGGTCAGTGCCCCCATGCCCTGCCTCCCCCAGGGACCCACGCTGCATTGCTGACCCCAGAACCCCAGGTTGGTTTTGGGAGCCCTGTCACCGTGGCCACAGGGGCAGGGACGGTTTAACCTTGAGGCCACCTTGAAGGTTCTCTTGTCCTACCAAGAGCTTTGGGGTGTGCAGACCCTTAGCCCCGATACCCCCAGGGTCCACCCAATGCCCCTTTCGTCCCACCGCCCCACAGCCCTTCCCACCCCACGGAGTGCCCCCTCCCTGCAAATTCAATGGGCAGGGGGGACACAGGGCAGGGGAACAACCCGTCGGTGAGCTGGTAGGAAGGATGACCCCAAAGCCAGCCCTATCCCCCACGAGAAAGAGCCCTCAATACCGCACTCCTCACTGCTGTCCTCCGGCCGGACCCTGCTCTGCTCCGGGCAGCACCCAGCTGGCCCCTGCCTCCCTTTTATCTGCTGACCACTCTCTCCGCCCAGGAGGAGGAGGAGGAGAAGCGCTCCCCATTCACCACCGCCTGCCTGGGGACAGCAACAAGGCCGCCTCTGTCCCCATTGAGGCTCCGAGCTGTGCTGGGACAAAGCGGTGCCTGGTGCTCGGAGAAGAGCTGGGCACACAGCCCTGCAGCCACATCAAGCCAGGCAGGGGTGGGTAGCAGTGCCAAGGGTCTGGCTCTCCCATCTGTGACCACGGCATCCCCAAAATCCTTGCCCTGCATCCTGGGGTGCCACCCAGCTGTGCAGTGCCACGTTTTGCACCCGGGGCCACCAGGGTCCCTCGTCCTCCTGCCCAGCCCCGCACCGATGGGCTGCGATGGCCTAAAGAGCCGGGGGACCTTCCCCCCCAAAACACTACATTGGCCCCACACGGACATCTCCACAAATATTTGAGCAGTTTATCGCCTCGGGGATCTGTACAAAAACATGATAAGCCGAGGAAGGGCAGCAGCCATAAACAGAGCGGGGACAGCAGTGTGGGAACAGGACATCGAGAACGGGGCCGGAACGGGGCCCCAAACAAGGGCAGGGGGTAACGGGCTGCCGGGGCACCGCGGGGCCGGGGGGAGGTACAGCCGAGCGGTCCCGCCCGCCGCGCCGCTCCGCACCGCCTCCAGCGCTGCCCGGGGCGGGCCCGGCCCGGCGTGCCCTGCGCTCGGCGTGCGCGGAGCCCGGTAAGCCGGGGAGAGGCGGTAGGAGCGGAGAGGGGGGGTCATCCCGGGGCTGGGGGCTGCCATCCCCGCAGCGCTCCCTGCCTGTCACCCCGCGTGGCTTTAGGACGAGGTCAGCACGGCCCCGTGCCGCTGCGGGGGCTCTGCGCTGGCCTCGGCGGGGGTTACTGCGGTCACCGCTGGCGGGCAGCGGGGCAGTGCGGGACCATTTCGGATGCAGAGCCGCCCCGTGCTCCCCAGTCTGCCCGATGCATGCAGGATCGCCCATCCCTGTTGCAAAAATCACCTCGAAGACAGTACGGGAGCATGCTGGGCTGCACCCAAGGCTGAGGGTTGTGTTAAGGGGCAGGGAAGCAAAGTGAGCCCCAAAGGGTTACGGGGATGGCAATGTGCTCGGGCAGCCCATTGCAGCCGGAAAGCGTCTCAGAGACACTGATTTAAAACACGCGTTTGAGTGCACGCACTGGGGTCTGCGCAGAATGGGGACACAGCTCCTTCCCGCAGACAGCGAGCTCTCCCTTGACCTCACTGTCTCCCCTACAGGATGCCCGGCCATGGCCGCCTCGCTGAGCCGCCCGTGCTTCCTGTCCCTCCACGTGCCCTACGGGCAGGGCTGCGCACAGGACCTGGCTACCGCTTTCCGCTTCCAGCCCGTGGCCGTGCGGGAGACACCGCGTGTGAGGCAGCTGGCGCTGCGCCGCGGCGCTGCCGTCTTCCTCCTCAACGAGCGCCTGGCGCCGGCCGGCATCTCCAACCGCGATTTCCTCTACGACGTGGACCCCCGTCCCACCCTGGGCACGGCCTCCAACGTCTGCCTGGAGGTGGATGATGTGCCAAGGCTGTGCACGCAGCTGCAGAGCCGGGGTTGCATCCTGCCAGTGCCCCCAACTGAGGTGAGAGATGAGCGCGGCTCCATCACCTACAGCGTGGTGAGCTCCGCCGTGGGCAATGTCAGCCACACGCTGCTGGACCGCTCCCGCTACCGGGGGCCCTTCCTGCCCGGCTTCCAGCCTATACAGGGAGCACCCCCTGGGGACGGTGTGGAGATCTCCCACTTCGACCACATCACCTACGTGTGCCCGCGGGGCGGCACGCAGGCAGCTCTAGAGTGGTACCAGCACTGCTTCGGCTTTCGGCACTTCTTGCTGAGCCCGCGGCAGCAGCCAGCGCAGGGCTTTGTGCTGGGTGGGCACGGGGCCGGCATGCTCCTCCGCGCCCTGCAGAGCTCCCAGGGTTCTGGCTGCAAGCTCGTCCTTGCTGAGTCGCTGTCTGAATCCGTCCCGAACCAGGTGGACACCTTCCTGGAGCAGCACGGCGGGGCCGGCATTCAGCACGTGGGTCTGCGCACGCCTGACATCGTGTCAGCCACCAGAGCCCTGCAGAGGGCGGGCGTGCGGTTCTTCACCCCCCCTGCTGCCTATTACAGTCAGGGGGGCAAGGAAAAGGAGGTGCGGGGTGCCGGGCAGGATCCCTGCACGCTGGCAGAGCTGGGCATCCTGCTGGACACCGCCGTGCATGGGGACAACAGGCAGCTGGGCAGCAGTGCTGGGGTAAGCCCTGCGCAGAGTTACTTGATGCAGATCTTTACCCATCCCCTCTTCTCCGAGGAGACTTTCTTCCTGGAGCTCATAGAGCGACACGGAGCTCCTGGCTTTGGAGAAGGCAACATACGGGCGCTGTGGAAAGCTGTGCAGGTCTACATGGACCAGAGGCAGTAGAGGCCGGCAGCGTCCCTTCTCTCTGTCCCAACCCTGGGGCAGTACACTGCAGAAATACCAACCGATAGCCATGGCATGGCTCTGAGCAACACGGTCCAAGGCACTCAACCCAGACACACTCCAATGCTGCAGCACCGTGCTCAGAGATAGGTTCTGGGAGCTCTGAGCAGCCCCCAGGGGAAATGGAGAGGGATTTCTCCCCCTTAACCAGAGGTGAAGGACCTTCTGCCTCAATTTCACCTCAATCTAATGAAAGTTGTGCCTGCAGCATACGGCTGAGGACACAGCTGGCACTGCCACAACCTCATTGTGGGGGACAAGGAGGACACTATGGACACGGCTGCTTACCAGCAGACATCATCCAAAGCACCACAGGGCAAGTGGCTGCTCCTTCATCACCTAAATTAAAGAATTAACCTGGAATAACTGATGTGGGATTTTTTCTCCTCCTGCTTAAGATTTGCCAGGGTGAGGACAAACGGACCCTTTCCACTGCCACTGCCCAGGGTGGATCATCGCCTAGGCTGGGGCCACCTACCCTTCAGAGCACCCCAAGGCTATAGGGCATCTCTGATAGCAGGGCTGGCACCTGCTGTTAGCACTGAGCCATATGCATGGGTGCAGTAACACAGAGACCACTGCATTGCTTTCCCAGTCCAGGCACAAGCAACCTGCTGGCCATCCTCATGTTCAACCACTGGCAGCCCCAGCTTAGTGCTGTGCTGCAATGGAGGCAGAGTCACTTCAAGAAAAAAGATAATAATTAAAAAAAAGAGGCCCTTAGGAGATTTATTACAAAAAACATGGCTCACATTCAGCAAAAAGAAACATAAAAAGGGCTATGGGAATATGGATGTGAGGGTACAACAGCACCACAGTCACTGGCTGCTGGCCCATGCTCAGGCATGTGTGAATGATGGGAACGTGGCCACATCCTTCTTGCTTGCTTCTTGCCAGAGAAACCCCATGGCCAGGGCAGGGGAGTGAGCCCAGCTCTGGGTCACATCCAGCATTGCACCGGCCCCTTGTACAGCACGTATCCACAGGTGCACTGGGGAAGGTGGTGATGTGCTGATGGCTGTGGGGCTGGAAGAAAGTGCAGTGATCGCTACAGGGGCACGGGGAGACCTGCAGCTGCCCCACACAGGACTCACCACAGCACAGGACTGGTGTCAGCTGCCAAAGGTTTGATCACGGAGCGCTCTGTGCCCGGAGGAAGGCGCGCAGGGAGAGCTGAATCCCTGTGGGGGCGCTGCCTGCTGCCCCCAGCTTTGACTCCCGCTTCCGTTTGGAGCCCTGCAGGACAGATGCTGCAGCTGAGCCAAGCCGCAAAGGTGCCCAGGGACACCTCTGAGGCATCAACGGTGGGGGGAGACGGGGCTAACATTAGGGGAACCACGGACGGAGCTGGCCAGGCATATCTCCCTGCTCCAGGCTGGGGAGTTCCCAGCACAGCCCCAAGTCCTTGTGCTCCAGCACAGCACAGGGCAGCCCTGCACACACTGCTGCATGGCCCACCTTGGCACGGCCGCTCTGCACCCCACGCTGAGTCTCCCGTGCCTTCAGCACCTAAAGAAAGCATGAGAGTGCTCAGAAACAGATGGGACTCATCCCCAAGCTGGGACTGCCCCACAGCAGCTAGGGGGATGCCAGGGGCACACTCAGCACCTCATGAAGAGAATGGAACATCCCAGGTCCCCCCGGTACCTTCTTCATGGCAGTGGACACAGCCGAGGCACGGAATTCCTCCTCTGTCACCCAGCGGGATGGGGATGAGGCAGCGTCCAGGACCACATCCCCATCCAGGCACAGAGAGTAGACCACATATGTCTGGTGAATGTGAGAGAAGATGTGGACAACCTGTGAGGGGACAAGAATATGATAAGCAGCACGCAGGGAGGGCTTGAGACATCAGGGAATGGGGATCCTTCCTCTGTGTTGCATGCCCCATAGCACAGCACACAGTGCCTGGCCCCACGCTCACTTCTCCAACGAAGCACAAACTCTCTGTCTGCACAGGCTGCCTTGTCCATGCCTGCAGGTGGTCAGCCAGCACCTCCTTCTGCTGCTCCTCCTGCAGGCCCAGAGCCAGTGGGAAGCTAGGGAACTCCCAGAGCCCAGCCAGGAGCCCTGTGAGAGGGCAAAACAGGGTGTGAACTGGGGGTGCAGAGGCCCATCACAGCCCAGGAGGCTCTTTTCTGCACCCCAGGAGAAAGTGCCATCCCACAACTCCATCCCAGCACCATTCACTGCCAGTGCCCTGCTCCCGCCTGGCCCTGTACCTGAGCTGGGTCTCTGCACAATGAAGTACTCGGGGGCCCCAAGGTGGCCCCTCCGCTCCAGCACACACGTGGCTGTCCGCTCCACTCGTGGCTGCTTCTTTGCTGCTTTGCGGGGGAAGTTGGTGACCCCCAAGCTGCTGTCCCACAGCTCGGCAGCAGGAAGGCACAACAGACAGTCCCCAGTCCCTGTAAACATCAATGCAACAGTCAAAGCACAGCCCAAATGCAAATGCAGAGCTGCTACAGCAACCAACCCAGGCGCTCACCACAGTCCTCAACATCAGGCACCAGGGTGGTCTTTCCAAACAGCTTCTGAGAGGCAGAGGCCAGGTCCTTCTCCACCTATATGGGATAACAGCATGTCCAACCCCATCTCCACGTACAGTGACTCCCCAGGGCTGGCACCAGATAAGAATGCAGGACTCAGTATTCAGCCAAGTCTTGCTTGATGCTTCAGAGGAGGTGTGGGGAACCTTCTGTCACCCTTACAGGGACAGCTAGAGGCCTCTGCCACTCACAGACTGTCAAGGGATGGTTTTGGGGGCCATTCTTACCCTACGCCAGGCATGGCAGTGCTCCTTCACTGGGCACTCCCCACACAGTGGGGATTTGGGTGTGCATACAGTTGCCCCCAGCTCCATCAGAGCTTGGTTGAAATCCCCCGGGCGGCTCCTATCCACCAGGGTGTTGGCCATGTTCCTAGGAGAGATGACTGTGAGTGACGTGGGGTTCTGCGTGCAGGAACCCCGTGACTTCCTGAGCCCCTGACCCCCACATGAGTCCCTAACGCTCCTGCTCCTCCAGCATCTTCCCTTCAGCTCAGCTCCCCATGGCTCCTAAACGATCCTGCCCTCAGCCACCAACACACAACCACAGCCGCCATCAGCACAGCTCTCCTCACCAGAGGCAGTCAATGACAGCCAGGCTGCTGGTGTCAGCACCGATGCACCGCAGGCGGCACAGCACGCGGATCACATTCCCATCCACGACACCGGTAGCCTGAAGTAGGAGTAGGGATCAGCAAACTGTGAAGTGCAGGTAAGGGGCAGGGAGACAGCAATAACAGGAGTTACGTTCCCTCTGGACAGCTGTCACCTGTCCGAATGAGATGGAAGCAATGGCTCCCGCTGTGTATCGACCCACTCCTGGCAGCAGCCTCTGCAGGTCTTCAGCTGTCCTGGGCATGCGGCCGGCCAGCTCCAACACCACCTGCAACAGGGCAGCCAACATCAGCTGAGCAGACACAATCTGTACATGTGATAAGGAGGGTGCCCAGCCTCCATGGCCCTGTGCAACGAGCTCAGCTCCAGTAAGGCAGAGCAGGCATGAACCAGCAGCCACCCACGGGGCACAGATTGCTTAGGAAATGCCTTCAGCACCTTCTTTGCTGCCTCCTGCAGGCGCTTTCCTCGTGAGTAGTAGCCGAGTCCTGCCCACAGCTCATTCACCTCCTGCCCCATGAGATGCAGCATTAGGGGGATGTGGGGAGAGCAGTGAGGGCTGCACTCGGCACCACAGTGCTCACCTCCAGCGATGCTGCTGCCAGTGCTTGCAGTGTTGGCCACTTCTACAAGAGGGAAGTGACAAGTTCAGGATGAGGACAGCCAAGTGCTGCAGATGGGAGTCTGCCACAGGCAGAGAGTAGAGCCTCCAAAGCAGGAGGTTTGGGAGGACTGCATGAGGAACAGTCACCTGCATCCAGCGGTTGTAGTAGTCAATCACCGTGGCCACTTGCGTCTGCTGAAGCATGATCTCAGACACCCACACTACCGGGAGCACAGAGGGATCAGTGCAGAGGTGCCAACATCACTTCTCCCAGCATGTGCCCCAGTCACCATGGTGCTGATTCCAAGAACTGCAGCAGCACCCAACCCAGCAGCCCCCCTCCCCATCTACATCCCCAGAGGACCTCTCTCAGGCCCAAAGTTGCCTCTCAGACGCCACCAGGGGTCCAAACAGCTGTTTACAGGAACAGCACTAAAGCCACAGCCTTCACTAGGCTACGTTGTACCCCATGTCAGGCAGCAAAACATGGGATACAGCCACCCCTGTTCCTCACCTGCATACGCCCGCCTATCGGCATCCGGCTCAACTGCAGCCTGAAAAGGAACGAAGTGGACTGTGAGAGACAAGGGAGCACAGCATTTGCTGCAAGGAGACCCGCATACAACATAAAATGGTTCACGCTGCCCTTACCAGCGCCCTCCAAGGAAGGTCCCGCCGGCTTTTGTCATACCAGGTGAGCAGGCGGCCACGTAGGGCATCGATCTCGACGGGGTCGCCGAAGAGATGCAGCGCATGTGGTCGAGCGGGAGCCCCTGTCGGGAGAGCGGAACGGGGGTCGAGTCCCAGCTGGGGCCGCGGGGCTACCCAGGCCCGGCCTGACGCGTTCCCCGCCCGCCCGCACCTTCACGGAGCGACGCGCCCTTCCTGCTGCTCTCCCCAGTCGGGGCCGCGCTGCCGCTTCCCCGCCGCCTCAGCCCCCGGGCGGCCGCCGCTCGCAGGCGGCTCATGGCTGGGAGCCGCGGGACACACGCGCACTTTTCCCGGGAAAATGCTTCCTTTCCCTTCCCGCGCCCCGCCCCGTCGCTTCTAGGGGACAAATCAGAGCGAGCGGCGCGGACCCGCCTTCCACGCTTGAGCCAATCGCAGCGCGGTGTGAGGGCAGCGCGTTCGCCCCTCCCTTCGGGTGAGCCCGGGAAAGGGCGGGTCCTGGCCGCGCAACGGAGCCAACCAGTTTTCCCCGCCCGTTCTCCCGCCAGTCACAGCGGCGGCATCAAGGCCCCGGAGGAGCCGCCCTCGCTAAACGCCCGTTGGCTTAAAAATGGAAATTCCATCAGAAACCGGGCTTCGAGCAGCAGAAAAAAACGTAATAAGCTACCAGATTTCGAGGCCGCCTCCGCAGGCCGCCAGTGCGGAGCTCGGGGCCGAGCGGGGTGCGCGGTGGAAGCGGGCGGGCGCGTGGGCAGCCCGGTGAGGAAGGCCCCGGGGCGGCGCGTGGGGGAGCCGCGGCCATGGCGCGGGGACAGGTGCCGGTGGTGGACGTGCAGAGCGACAACTTCACGGAGCTGTGGCCCTCCATGGTGCTGGCGCTGCGCACCGCCACCTTCATCGCCGTGGACACGGTGAGATGGGCGCGGCGGGGGTTGCAGTAAGCGGCTGCGCGGCCGGGCCGCGCCGCTGAGCGTCGTTTTCCCGCAGGAGCTGAGCGGCCTGGGGACCAGGAAGGCGCTGCTGAGCCCGTGAGTGCCCGCAGGTTGACGGGCGGGTGGGGTGCCGGGTCCCCGCCCTCCGGTTGTCGTTGTGGAGAGCGCGGAGGGGGGTCGGTTCCGCGAACTCGGGACGCCTCAGCGGTTGTGTCTCCGGTAGGTGCATCGACGAGCGCTACAAAGCCGTCTGCAACGCTGCCCGGACGCGCTCAGTCCTGTCTCTCGGTGTCGCTTGCTTCAAACAACTCCCGGAGAAGGTAACGGCAGCTCCCCAGGGCTCGGCCCGGTTCCTGTCATCCCCGGCTCTGAGGGCCCAGTTGTGATCTTGTTCCGCAGTCCGAGAACACGTTCCTCTGCCAGATCTACAACCTGACGCTGCTCTGCACGGAGGATTACGTCGTCGAGCCGCAGTCGGTGCAGTTCCTGGTGCAGCACGGCTTTGACTTCAATAAGCAGTACTCCCAGGGGATCCCCTACCACAAGGGCAACGACAAGGTACAGAGTCACTCCCTCGTCCTGCCTGTGAATTCATGCTCCAGGGCTGATGCCCTCATTCATTGCAGCTTGCTCTGCTATGAGCTGCGCTCCCCTGCAGCCTCCGGCTCCCAGCTGCTACGTGGGAACAGGAGTGCAGCACAGCCCTTTCTCCTCCCTGTTGTTTTTCATCACTTGTTGCAGCTGCTTCTCCAACTACGTGCGCATTTCCTTAGTCAGAGCACAGCATAGTTCTATGTGGTGTTCTGCTGTAACAAGCTCTGACTTGCCATTGCACCAGAAGTCCTCAGTGTGTTAAGACTTGGTGACTAATTCTTCTTTTAGGGCAATGAGAGCCAGATCCAGAGCGTTCGGACTTTTTTCCTGGAACTCATACGAGCAAAGAAGCCTCTCATCCTCCATAACGGCCTGATTGATCTTGTCTTCTTGTACCAGTGCTTCTATGCTCATCTCCCAGACAGTCTTGGCACCTTCACCTCTGATCTCTCAGAAATGTTCCCAGCAGGAATATATGACACTAAATATGCTTCAGAGTTTGAGACCCGCTTTGTTGCATCCTATTTGGAATATGCTTACAAGAAATGGTGAGTGGCACACTGCTATTTAAAGCTCTGGGACAAAAAGACAAGGGAGTCAGTTTGGTTTCTCTTTCCAGACACAGGACGTAGGTCTTTGTATTGTTCCAGTGCTGAAAAGGGTGTTTATTGCCTCCCAATTGTAGGCTGGGTAGGTAAGGGTGCATCTTGTAATTTGCTCTGTACAGAGGGCAGCAGCAGAAAGATTTGTCTTCTGCTGGCAGCAGTTTAACGTCATTTAACTGGAAATTGATTCACTGCATGGTTATGGTCCAGCACTGCCACAGGGATACAAGCAGGAATACGTGCTGGCTTGAGAGCAGGGCTGTACCTGCAGAATCTGCCAGCTGTGACAGCTTTGTAAGGGATGATGCAGTTGAAGAGTGGGTGCACATCCAGATGCTGACCAGCTCCACACATATGACCCTTGCTTGCCCAGCAGTAACTCCCAGCTGAAGGTTGTGCTCTTGTTCCTCGGCCTCCTGTCTTGCTTCCTGTCCTCAGCACCTCGAGGGTGTCTTTCAGCAGCTGTGTCAGTCTGGCTTCTGATTCTGCTCTTGCTGCACAATCTAAACAAGACCCAGGCAGTGATATGGCCACCTGAATCTATTAAGCTGAAGTCACACTCTGTGCAGAAATGGTATTTTTAGTGACTGTTTTACATCAATAAATCCTATTTTGATATGCCTGAAAATGTTCAAGATGGCTGGCTGTTCTCAGGCATGAGAATATTTTATTCTGACAGGATGAGGATACTTTTAACTGACCTAATGTTTGAACCCACAGTTCTAGTTATATTGTCTTCTGAAGCAGTTGGGACAAAACAGTTCTTGCTTCTTCTTGAGATAGAAAGCATTTCTTTGTTGTCTGCATTGCCCAGGTTTGCTCTGTCTGGGTGGTGGTTGCTAGGTACACAATGACACCTCACCTCAGGCATTTCCTCTTTGTCCAGTAGTATTATCAGAACTAACACACATCTTAGCTTGGTGTTAAATATGAAGGGCACTGCGTGTCTCTTTCTTCCATAACATCACAAAACACACTGCTGTCTCTGCCTGTATTTAGGCATACAAGAAACCAACACTTAAATCAGCATAAAAACAATTGCTTCTTAAAGTTCTATTCCCTGCACCGTCTTTGCAGCAGGCTGTTAAACTGAAGCTAAACTGAAGCTCAAGAACAAGAAATGAGAGGAGCTGAGAGTTGGCTCAAAGCAGCATGTTTGTACCAGCTCTGTGCTGGGTGCTTTTGGCGAATTAACCACAGTAACTGCATCCTCTTGTGTGTTCCAGCAAGCGAGAGAACAGCAAGCTGAAGGACTCCAGCAGCCAGCACATCTCTGTGGAGTTCTGCAACTACCCTGCCAACATGTCACGCTACATCGACTATCGCCACTGCTCTCTGGAAGAAGCAAGCCACAGCGAGGGAGAGGCAAATAAGGTGCCTGTATGTGAGAAATTCTCGGTAAGTAACACGAATCCCTGCTTCCTACCTGGCCCCACGGCAAAAGCCACACATGGGCAGAGCAGGAAGTAGAAGGAAGGAACCTCCCAGGTGCTATTTGTTTGCTTCACAATACAGGGAAGACTTTCAAGCTTCAGGTGACTTTGAAACTGAAAAGGCAACAACATGCTCTGCTCTGAGGTAGCACATTTCACAGTTTGCATTTGAGGCCAAGGTTCAAAGAACAGATAATATAGCCCTAAAAGAGAACTAGTGTGTATTAACAATATACATTGCTGTCTTGGCTAGGCTTTTTTATTGCTTTCTTGGAAGGGCTTTAAGTTCTAAGCGTCCTTGGTTTGTCTTCTAAGCAAGAAGTGCTTCCTCTTTCCTCCCCTGTAGCTCAATTAGATATAGAAAATATTACCTGTCTGCAGCTCCTGGAATCGTAGTGTGGTGTGATCCACAGCATCTCAAGTTCTGGCACTGCTACAGAGGTTATCAAGGAGCCTGATCCCAGCTGGTTTGACATGCTTCATGTGAATTTCAGAAAAGGAGTTCTTCTAGATGATGCTGCACATTATTTTCACAGAACAACATCCGTTAGGAAAACATCAGGAACTTTCTCAGCAAACCACCAACTCAGAGTTACTCAGAGCCTTGGTTGGTGACTTTTGAGTATGACCAAGGACAATGACTGCAAAATCCCCTCGGGCCCCGATTCCAGTGGTTGAGCACTCATTGTGAAAAATACCCCCTTGGATGTTTAGTCAGAATTTCCCATTAACATTTCACCTGCACTCTTCTCAAAAAGTGTTTGGCTCCATTTTTTTCCATAACCTCTGCTGTAGGTAGCTGGAGTCCAGCTATTAGCTCTGCCCTGTGCCTTTAGGCTCGTCTGTTCCAGGTGGGAACAAACCCAAAGACTTCCTTAGCCTTGCACTGCATGCACTATATTTCGTCAGCTCACTTCTGCACTCAGTGCAGTTTGTCAATGCCTTTCCTGTGGTCTGGTGCCACAACTGGACACAGTGCTCCAGCTACAGCCTCACACAAGCCCTCAGTTGAGGGCAATAATTAACTCTGCTCCGAGTTGCAGTGATGGGCTGCTCTAACTGGGAGGCTCATGGTTACAGACTTCTCTTTTTCTCCCTAGGCCTATGGCTGGTGTCCACATGGAGTGAAGTGTCCACAGTCTCATAACATTGACCTCATAATTGATGAGGATGATAAGCTTTGTGAGAAAGTGAAGAAACGGAAACACAGGCGGAAGCGTCGGAAAAATGCAGAAGAACCTGAAAAGACATTAGAACAGGAAAGCTCAGGGAAAGAAATGGAGCTAATTCAGAATGGGGAAGAGGAACCACCACGAAAACAGAGCTGCTATGACACTGATGGCAGGCCACTAGAGGAGGAAAACTCCACTGCTATGGAACCAGAGGGCAGCTCAGACACCAGTACACATGGTGGAAGGCAGGAAGAGGATCTGAAGAGCACTGAAGAAACTGCTGCAGTGAGCCCTTCTGCCAAGGGAAATACCCATGGCAGTGACCAAGTGGAAGGGAAGTCAGAGGTCCTCGCTGGAATGGTCTCCCCCAGTCACCCAGACATCCCTGAGACTGAAGCAGCATGTGCTGCCAGAAAGCAAAATGCATCCCAGGGGCCATGTTCACAAGTGGGAACCCACCGAGCTGGCTTTGATGCCTTCATGACTGGCTATATCATGGCTTACGTGTGGATGCTTAAGAAACGAAAAAGCACAGGCACTGATGCAGAGCCATGGTGTCCGGACTGTCATAATAAGCTGTACCTCAGTGGGAAATCAGTGCCACTGCAGATAGTGAAAAGCTCGTTTTCTAAGTCTTCCACAGCTCACAACCAGAAGATGAAGTTGGTCTGGGCCACTGGATAGAGCTACGAGACTCCTCACTGAACTGGGTGTTTTTCCCCCACAGTTATTAAAGGGGAACAAGTTTCTTGTCCTCCATTTTAACCTCTGACCAATTAAATTGCTCTCAGTTGGAGTTCCTTCTGGTGTTTCTTAGCTGGACTGAAAGCATGGGTAAGGTTGGAGGGGGGAAACATGCACTTCTCCAACTGCATGCAGGGCAGCAAGTTCTGTTGAGTGCTCTAACCTGACAGTGTTTTGAAATAAAAAACAAAAAACAGACCAGGTTTGTATTTCTAGAAAGACCACATAACAGCTGCTTTAGCATGGGTGTCTCTTCTTGAAAGTGATGAATAGGGTAATTCTTTGATTAAACACAAGAGGAGACAGAGGCCACGTCCTCCTCCTCCTCATGTCTTTATCCTTACCATATACAGAGCCTTACTACCTGCTGCCACTTACCCTATTGGTTTAAGAGGGGACAGATCTTTTCCAAAATGAAAAAGGTCAAACCTGCCTTACAGAAACATGCTCAGCAGAAGCAGGCTGTTTCTTCAGCATACGCTATGATTAACGTTCAATCAAGTGTTAGTCTCTCAATCATTGCTGGCAGGGAAATTCCTTATGACTCTAATTACTTCCTGTCTTTCTAAAGAACTTGAAGGGGGACAAGAGTGTCTTTTTGTTTTAAAATAAGGCACTGAACACATCCCTCCTTGAGAGAGTTGTCCTGCCTTATTTTTGTACTTCACCTTAATTTTGGTTACAACTTAAGCCTTTGCTCCTGTAGTTAAAAAAGGAGAAAGATGCTGGGCTAGCAGATTCTAGTGAAGGGTAACTGCATGTAGAACCAAGCTATAGCAGGTCTGTAAACTTCTAAATAAGGGAAAAATCAATGGGACTTGCAGCCAGGTGTGGTTCTTTTAAATCCTGGTGCATTGCTTCCTGTGCTTCCTGAAGCTACTTTGCAGAGCTAGATCACAGCAGTCACAATGGCAAGCTCCCTGCAGGCTGAGTGCTATCAAAAGCATCTTGCCTTGTTAGTCACAAGTTATGCCTGCTCTTCTGAATGCTGTAAGGCAGAGCAGAAAAAAAGGCATTGAGTCATGAATTGAACAGCCTAGCATTTCAACAAGATGCAGGGGAGAAATAAGACCAAATAAGGATGGCAGTTTTCCTTATTTATAACTCAGCACCAAGTAATAAAGGTGTGATCTCAAGACGGGTCAATATCATCCATAGCTCAAGTGTGTGTTTTAATCAGCTTTTTCTTTTTTTTTAACCCAAAGTTGTCATCTTAATCACAAGACTCAACCCTTGATTTTAATTTTATTTTGAAAGCAAGTTGGGAAAGTTTACAAAACCTGACCAAGAAAAAATTATGAAAATATTTAACTGGATTCATCTTTGGTTACTTCTTATTGCAGTTCCAATAAAACATACACCATTTCTACAGCTCAAACAAAGTCCAAAGGTCAATCAACATAAAAACAAGACGTGCTTTCTTTACATATTCATAAATATCCACAATATTAGAAAAACTGTTTTGCAAAGATTTTTCTTTTCTGGCAGTGTTAACTTACTATTATACACAGGCTACAAACTTCCTCCTAAGCCTTTAATTACAAGTTGAGCTATTTACAGTCTGCAAAATATTAAGACGTAAAACTCCTTCATAAATATGAAAATAGATCATCTTGCAAAGATCTTTAAACTTACTTAATCAAATATCTGGCTGCCCCTCCTCCCAAAAAAAGGGTTATTTGTTTTGCATAGAAATGTAGTGACATGCAATATAAACAATAGCATTAAGTGCAAACAGGAATTATTCAAGTGTCTTTAGTTGTACTGGCAAAAAATACCAATGTTCTGTTACACAATACATTGATGCTTTTCCAGCAAGTGTAAGTCTACTAAAGCCCCTTGTCTGCACTGCTTTTGAGGGGCAGCAATTCACATGCATTCTCTTAGTTGCATTTTATCAACCTGCAACCACAACAAAAATAGCTTATAACAGACATTTCAATGAACTCAACACAGAAAGATTTAAAGTGAATTAAAAACATCTTTGATCTCTTTAGGGAACCTAGCAACGTGTAGAAAGTCTTTTAAAAGAGCAATTGCTCCTCCAAGAAAGTCAAAAACCATGATAAAATCCAGTCACAAGAAAAAACTTTGTCACATCACTATAAAAACAAGGAGTTTGCTGACTGCATATTCAGATTCACGTTCATCAGTAGCCGTCAGAAAATGGCCCCCACTAGAAAAGTGCCCTCAGATGGGCAGAAAACCTAGGAGTATTTGCTAGGTGCAACCTAGATTCAGCTTTGCACAACCAAAGGGATAAGACAGTGTGTGCCAACTGCACCCAAACCCTTGGAAACGCAGGGTTTCAGCAAGCACTTAGCTATTTTAAGACAGCCTTTTACTCCAGTTCACATGCACGTCATCCTTTTTCCCCGCGCGCACCAAGAATGCAGGGAAGGCCTGAGTTGTTATTCCTTGGTATTTTCCTTCCCAACATCTCCATCTCAGAACAAAGAGCTAGCAGAGTTGATAGATGTGCCCCGTGCATGTCAGCTGGCTGTGCAAAGAGTAGACATTTAAGAAAATCAAATTTTAACCATGCTGCTTCGTAAAAGCCACTGAGGGTAGGGAAACATTTAAGAGCCAGTGGTGTGAGAGAACACTCGAGGTCACTGTGATGGGTTCTTAGAGATATCCCATACCAGACTACACAGATTTTGCAGTCTGTCAGAGAGGCTACAGGCTTCACGAGGTGTCAGTGCTGACAAGCAGGGCAACACAAGTCACACAGCAGCCAGAGGCACACACCTATGCTGCTGAGGCTGCGGGACAGCTTCCTTGCAGCCTGGTGATCCAAAATAAACTATTCCTTATTATTGCTTGTTTGTCTGAAGTCACACACCTAAATGCATCTTGCGACAACAGAAGCTGGTGCTGATGATTTCTCTCCTGAAAGATTACAGTTTGATAAAAGAAAAAAATATATATATGAGGGGTTGGGAAAAAAAAAAAAGCAGGCACCAGACAGGCAGGCAGTGGAGTTCTGTTGACTGGTTCCCTGTCCTCAAAGGAATTGACACAATGCAGTGCCAGCCCTTCCAGCTGCTCAGCACACTGCAGACACCAGCACAGAAAACAGGACACCCAACACAAGCTACTCTACAGATCAGCACCTTTGACGGGCAGAGAGGTGTGGGCCAAAAAGGGCAATCTTGGTCAGGATGGGCCTTTTTCAAACTAATAGCTGTGTAACACAGCATGAACTGTGCAAAGAAGTCAAAGATATTGTGTTTCTCATTTAATTATCTGCAGCCATTGCAAAGAGATAACTGCTGCTTGGGCTGAGACTTATTTCACAAGACAAAGTCACAGTTACAGCAGAATAGTTACCTACACCTCTGAAAAGCTGAGTAACTCAGCCAAGAAAACAAACACACAGAAAGACATAAGCTTTCTCCTTCATCTTTTCCTTGAGATGGGAGAAGAGTAAGAAAACCTTGCTTTCATCAGGGAGTACCAGCTTACATTTTCCATCTTTGCACAAGAGCAGAAATAACAGACTACCTGGATGAAATCCTGGACTCCAAATCCCCCACAGCTCCTGCATCACCTGCTCAGTGAGCACACAATGCATACCTCAGATAGGAATGATAATATAGGTTAAAAATACAAAAATCAAACCAAAAAAACCACGTAACTGTACAACAACAGTAGAAAGGGCAGGATTGTTGCACAAGTATCACCACCGAACAAGAATCCCCTACATCACATCCCAGACTGGGGATCTCTGATGCTGGTTCCAGCAAGCAGCTTTAAAGCAGATGCTGCTGCTTCTTTTACATCTATCTGTTGGTAGAATGAAGAAAAACATTAAAAAAAATCCTATTCAGGAGTGACAGGAGAAACCAAAGGAGATAACAGCTTCTTTCTGTAGAATTAAAAAAAAAAAAAAAAGAGGATAAATTACTCTTCTTCAGTTTGACAACTCAAAAGCCCATCTGTGAGTTTCTATCTATCCTTACCCAAAAGCTCTCACGTTGCTGCAACACTGCTGGTGGCTTCTCTGGAACAGGGGATTCTTGTCCCCCATCCAACAGTCTGCTTTTTCACAAGTCATTACTACTACATTAGTGCAGTGGCACCAATGAGATGGATGTCCTGCTAGAGAGGGGTCTGAACGCAACCTTCCTACCACAGTGATAGCTGTTCATCTAGAATTTATATTTAACTATTCTGCAGAAATAGATTATGGTACCTTAAAAGAGGAGAGCCCAAAAGCTTAGTACAACTGGCAGCTCCTCAAAAAGGCCAGAAATGACAGTGCCTGGAATCTGGCTCCATTTTTGCTCCCTGGGCAAACCTTCCTCCCACATCTGGGTCGAGGTACATTAAGAGCTGTGCAAGAAAGAAAGTGGTGCTCACTGCATCTTGCTTCCCCATACTAATGCGTTACACATCACTAACAAATCCCAGGGCAAAATGAAACACCAGGGCACAGATTCCTCTTGTTAACTGGAAAGTACTTATCATGTGACTCCGCCCACAGACTGCAACCAACATCAGGGGTTTTGTTTTTGCTGCTTTTGAAAGAAGAGCTTGTTTAATGCTGTAACAGCATTCACAGCAGCTCTGGGACAAGAAAGCATTGCTATCTGCTTAACGCAGCTCTGAAAGATCTGTGCCCATTTCTGGAACAGAGGCTCTGATTCACATAACACTGCCTGCAGAATGCTAATGCAAAATCTGCAGCAGTTCAGAGCAGCTGGTCAGTCAGAGGAAGAGGGAAAACCTGCGTGTCGCTCTTTCCACTCAACCTGAACTTAAGGCCTCAAAATGCTCCATGCTGGAATCCAAGTCAAACTGTTTGCGTGGTGCCTACTTCTGGATACTACCTCTATAAAGTATGGGGCTCACATGGAAATTCTGGCTGGAGTAGTTTCCCCTCCTAAAGCAAATCAAGGGAGGAAATAAGCATAGCTTGAAAATAGTTAAAATCATTAGTCTCTTCAGATGCTGTCCACAGCTACCTGTTTGACAGCCCATTTTCACCATTTGCTGGATCTCTTTGGAGCACAAAACGCAGCGCTACTGAAGAGCAGAGTTTAAGTGACTGGGAACAATGGCTCTCTCGAGGACATGCTCCATCTGAGTCCTCTCTTCATATGTCACAAGTTGGCTGTGTGCTGCCACTTGCTGAGATGTTGGAGGACGTCTGAGACAACGGGGCAGTGCTGTCCCCATCGTGCTCCCTGAAT